AAAATTAATAAATTCAATTTCATGTGTGCCTGACAACGCCCATCAGCAATTTTTTATACAATACATGCAACACAATAACAATACTGTATTAAATCGGTTTAAATGCTTACTCTCATAAAATTATATAAATAACTATCACACTAGTTACAATAATGTTACCACAAAAAGTAAACTAATAATTTTTCATTTTCACAAGTTACACAAGCCTTTTTTCGATATATGAAGCAGCAGCTGCCTCTTCGCAATTCCTTAAGACATCCAAAAACTTTTCCCAAGACCCTTCCTTGTTTGCTATCCACCAGTCAATGGCTTTTTCTGTTGGAAACTCATAGTCATGTCCATCATACTTTGCTTCTTCCTTCAATTTTTGTTTCATATCTGTCGGGATGCAAAGTTCTGACAGCAAATACCGAAATGATTTTGTAAATCCAAATTTAGCATGACGTAGTAACTTAATAGCTTCAGAAGCTTCAAATGGAGTTTTATAGCCTATATAAAGAGTTTGCGGCATTACACTTTTAAATTAATTTGTGCCGGCATACTTTTGGCTTGACATGTATCTTCTTCCTCATTCAAAAACTGAACTTCTTTTGTCGGCCCTGTGGCATCATCATCAACAACTGTAGCTTCAATTAATGCAATAAAACATTTAAAAATTCATTTTTAGTAACATGACATACTTTGTTTTAATTTAGAGTCCTCATCTTTTTTTTCTATAGTGGCAAACACAGTAAGAGTTAATAGCAGCATTAGCTGAATGCTTACTTTCAGATGCCAAAAAACACTTCAAGCCTTCTGCAATGTCTTCTTCCTTTAAATATTCCCGTAATTCCTTTTCTATCCATACCCCAACATCATCACATGACAAGATTCCAGCATCAGACAAAGCTTGGCGACCCCCATTGCAATTAAGAGAAGAGTCTTTGTCTTGACAAAAAGAATAAAAGCCCATTTCCCAGTTTGGCAAAGGATCAAGCTTCTCATGTAACTTCTAAAAATCAAAATAAGACAGAATCTCATATGCAAAACGACAATAAAATTATCTTTCTGCTAATATCAAATTTTATACTTTAATCATTTGATGATTTGAATTATAACACTATGACACTATGCAATTTTTTCCATGCAACAAGAAATGTTGCCAGTGTATGCTGAGTAATTGCTTGGTGGGTAGGCCTTACAATTTCCGGGTTTAACCCGATTTTACCCGATTTTAACCTCCCGAAAATAATAAATCTTTTCAGGCTAAACCCGATTTTTACCATAAAAATAACTTAATGTTACACATAAAGAGGTGTGGTCTAGAGTGTGCTTAGCTCATAGTAGGGGTGGTTTATTTCATTTCTAATGTCATCTGAAACTTGACATATGCAAATGACTTTGAACTTTTTAATCAAGACATTCAGAACACTTTGTACAGTATAATTATATTTTCTTCTGAGTTTGGTTCTTAAATTTGTTTAAAAACAACCCGATTTTATGTAATGTGACAGGATTAAACCTGAATTTAACCCCTATTGCCATTTGTTCCTATTTAACCTGAAAAAACCACCCCAAATTTAGAATTTTATTAAACCCGAAAACTGTAAGGCCTATTGGTGGGGTATTCAAATTTGCTTCAATGATAATAATCAACAACCTCTAATTCTTGCCGTATGAAACGCCTGCCATGATCTTTCGAGCATTTTTCTGTTCCATCATCACTAATACATGTATTAGCATATAATTTATCAGCATGACTTAAGCAAATCAAAACTGGGACTCCAAATTTCTTAAAAAACTCAATGCAATTTTTGGCTGCTTTAGTAGCATACCTCCTATAAAGTGAAACATATTAAAATAATGTCAAGTAAGTTATAAAACTCACTTATAATCAAGAACAAAAACAATTAATTGAGAAATACGAAGCAATTCTCTTGAATACAGTGTGCCCTCATCTGCATCATCTATTCCGGGAAAATCAATCACACTCAATCCATCAACCATGCCTTCCAAGTTATACAGAAATGAAACAGTAGTACGCTGCATGCTAGTTGAACCAACTGCTACCTAATTAAAAATTTATTCTAAAATTTATAGACTACTATAATTATTTGTACCTTTTGTCTGAAAAGTGTTTTAACAAGACATGATTTCCCAGAGTTACTAAGGCCCACAATCCCCACAGTGGTGTGAGAGGCTAACTCTTCTCTTAAACGATGAATATTTAGACACCAAATAATCCAGCGAGCAACAAGGGGGCGATATGGCTGCAATACGTGATACAAAAGGTTATTTTTAAAATAATTGTCCCATTTCAATACTAATGTTTTTACTCTAGTTGTTGGTTTAATATCTCTTTTTGAACACAATTCGGCAAGTTGAGTTTCAAGAGAGTAGCTAATGTAGCTTGTATTACAGCTGACAGTTTCATTAAACTTTAAACACTGCAACAAAAACTGCAGTTTACCAGCATAAAATTCTGAGTGTTGATCAGATGCTTGACTAGACTTTTTAAAAATGCCCTTAATGTACTTTTCCACTTTTACAACCATTGCTTTACCTTTTCTGCTGGCATACATTTTTTTTAAGTCGAGCATATCTAAACTGAACAAAGCCCAAACTCCAACAGCTGGTGGTGCTTCTGTGGTCTGAAGAATGTGAGCAGTTTCCAAAGGTGAATCTACTAAAGGCACTCTAATTCGCTGCTCCATAAAGCCTCCCAGTAATAGCGTACAGATTAGGAGCTCATCGTTACAGATATTTTGAATCGTTGTGAGCATTTCTTCATTGTAATTCTTTTTTGCTTCTTCACTAGATTTATCATATTCATGAAAAATATCTTTTTCTAATTCTTCAGCTTTAAGGGCATCTAATTTGTTCCGTCCCTCTTTCAAGACATCTATTGGAGAAAGAAGCTTGCCACCTTTTCTGTCAACTCTGGTTGCAAAGAGCTCTCTAACATTAGCTCCACTTATTACTCGTAGGGTTGTCCTAGCATTATCCACACAATATTTTCTTGCTGTTTCTCGAAGTTTATTCATCAAGGCAAGAAGAGTGCTTCTATCCAAAGGTTGAAGTGGATTTTGATGAGGCCTCACAGGATTACCTTGGACAACCTCAGAAAATGACCTTGGCATAGGTACCGGTACATGCACATCTACTACAGGAGGAAAAGGCATACCAGAAGAACTTATTTGATTAATAACCCGAAGAAATTCCCGCTGCAAATGGTCAAGAAATACAGGATCAGAGCCAACTGCTAAACACATGCATGCTCTATCCAAACCAGCTGCTAATTCAATGGAAGGAGGAGGAGGTACATCAACAGAAACAAAAGCTTCAGCACATTTCCAGGCAATCTCTTGAGGTTGAGGTGCATTTTCAATAGCGTAGCAGATGCTTTCAATTGGAACTATTCGTGTTGCTTCATCTAAAAATTTGCATATGGTTTTGTAGCGCTTTGACACTACACCATCTGAAATGCACTCCAGTAAAGCAGTAAGAAAACTCAGTTTAATGACTTCACCAGGAGTACATATAGCAAGTTGTCGTTGCCGATATGATATATGATATTCACCCTAAAATTAAAACAAAAATGAATATCACAATAACCATTTAAACTCACCATACACTTCACAGGTACTTTACGTTTTATAGGATTTGCAAAGTGGCTGTACAAGACAATATCAACTGTCTCAGTATTCCTCTCAATAATCAAATCTTTTTGATCCCTAGGAGTGTAGTTAAAACGAACAGATCTACTAGTAGCATCTGCTTCAAGATCATCAATAATTATATTGCTTCTGCCATTTATGCCAATTTTAGAGCAAAACCAGAGGTTTTGTCCTTGTAGCACCAGTGCAATTTCATCTCCATGGCGATAGAATGTTATTGAGGAAACATCAGGCTTCAAAAGAGATACAACATTAGCAGCAACAGAAGGTGGGCTCTTAGAATGAACAAAACACTTCTTAAGTACATCATAGTACTTTTCTATGGAATGCTTTAAAAAGAAAACATGAATTAGAAAAGCAAAAGTACATTATAAAGTTTACCTCCTCTAAGATGCTACTATTTTTTGGAATTTTCTCAAGCTCTGCTGCACTTGGAATTTTCAAAATTTCTTGAGCTCTTTGTGGTAATAGTTGAGAGACCATATATGAATGAACATAATGATATATTCCAAAAAGTTTAACTTCTCGAAGTTTCGTCAAATGGTCATCAGAAAGGACGGTCTTTAAATTTGACAAAGAATTTTCAAATTCAGGACTCTAAAATCAGTTTGTATAACATGTACTGTAGCTATAATGCTTTACTGCTGTACCTTATCCTGTTTCCCTGCTTTTTTATACTTAAGCAGATCATTGACAATAACTGCACCAATTTTTCCAGACAACTGTTAAAGTAACAATAAAAATGCCATACATCAATAACTGACTTACATGTACTTTGTCATGATCTTTTACTCCATTGGTAATATCATCAAATCGTAGTAACCTTGACACAAAATCTCCCTGCAGCTGAAAAATGTGGCTATTTTCTTTCATCTCAGCAAGGCACTCTTCTACAGTTTTATCTTCTACTGCTTTGAGTGGAACCAGTGGCACACCAAATGTGACACACATTGTACTCTGTGAAAGATTACTAATGCTAAGACATGTCTGCTTCCATACTGAAGCATACACAGAGAGTGCCAACAGACCACCAAATTCAAATCCTATCCAAATTAAAAAAATTATTGATGTACATGTATGAGCTTACCAGTAAATATAATAGAATAACCATTTTGTATTTGTTCAACAAAAAAACGAACCGGTAAGCGATCAGTTTGCTTCGAAATACCTATACAGACAGGCATGTAACACATAAATTTAGCTTGATGCCCATGCAGCATACCTTCACTGATAATACCACTTTTCTGCCATATCTCAAGATCAGGCTCACCTAAGAAGCCAATATAAAGCTCTTTATCTTTTTCCCGTTTCGCTATAACATAACGCTCCAATTTTGGATCTTGTGGCTTTGATACAGACAACTCATCGAAATCATGAACAATGCTATCTAAATATTTCTTGCTGTCTTTATGTGCAACAAGACAGCATAATATCAAGCAATTATGAACTATTGCTTCAGAAAACAGCTTCTTGTCAGCTTCTGGAGGTATCATGGCTTCATTAATGGCAACAGAAGTATCAGAAGTACGAGTGATTTCTTCTAACATCGCAAAAGACCAGGTATAGAGATCAGCTGGAATTATCATTTCCTTATAACAAAGTCTGTTCAACAATTCACGCAGCTGAGATTTGGAAACAGAGCTTTCAAACTGACTCTTGAAAAACGATGTGATGCACTCTCTTATGACTGTATACTTAGCATCAATATTTTCATCAGATCGTAAAGTACGCTTATGCAGAAGCGATAATTCCATCTTAAATTCTTGAAGCTTGATCTGGTCACTCTGATTAGTACTTGTCATAATTTCTATTATTAAAATAAGGACATGCTTTAATTGTATATAAATCAACCTATATTTTTATTACAACAGTAATTGATAACTGATAGTTAATAATTATACCGTATAGCGGGAAATCTTAGAGAGAATTAAATTTGGCGAAGTTGGTGTTTTGATAGTCATTCGTCAAAAAAATCTGCCATTTTGAGCCATTATGTGCATGCTCAATGGCACGTGGCCACAAACTCACCAAATTAGAATCTACCAATCACTACAATTTAGCAATTTGCCAATTTTAACTCCCTCCAAAATTTCTTGCTATACGATACTCTTTTATTTCTATAAATATTTGATACTTACATAGCCTTCAAATTTTAAAAATAATTTAATAACTTTTTACATTGAGTAGCTTTTAAAAATAATTTTTTGAAATAACTGCTACCAAAGGTGTATCAAGGCCAAATTTTTTGGGGGGGGAGCTGACTTGCTAAGATTATGTGAGACATTAATGTTAAAAAGATTATATGCTATAATATTAATTTATAAAAAAATGCATGTAAATTGTTTGTTAATATTACTACTTTGAATTGCTTTAGCACTTCCCAAATATTGAGGGGGCTCTGTCCCTCCTTAGAAAATATTGGGGGGGGGCTTCAGCCCCACTAGCCCCCCCTTCCTACGCTACTGACTGCTACAATGCACTATGTTATAAAATTCTGAGTGAAATTCACTATGACAATTGTGGAATGACTAGATGGTGTTTCAAAGTGGTTCAATGCACATAAGAATTACAGGCGTGGCCTGACCAGTGCAAGGGTCAGGCCATGTCTGGATATATAAGAATTGCTAGTGTAGAACCTTAGTTTTAGAGATGGGCGAATCCAGAAATTTGCATTTGATTCCAATTCCAAATACTTTTGAGACTGGAATCAATAGAATCAAATACTGATTCTGAGTACTAGATCTGCGCATGCGCAAAGCCACGTGTTACTAACTACAGAAATAAAAATGCAATAATGAATTAACTACTGATTAATTAACTATTATTAATAATAAAGGGTGTGGTTTAATTCAGAAATGTTTCAGACAATACGAGTACGATTGCATTCGGAATCGAATACTCCGGACTCAGAATCGCCCATCGCTACTTATTTTATAATAGACTAGTCAATCGACTGACCTCTTATTTGCGCACACAGTTTCTGAATAACTTCTGTCGATGCAAACTTTTCCAACATCGCGACAAAGGCTTCAACACGCTCACGATATCCTTTCATCACCTGGAGTGCTGTGTATAGTAGCCTTCTTTTCCTGTCTTTTAACGAATTTTTACGATTAGTGACAAACTCGTACGCTTGGTCACTCAATAAATTAGCGGAGTAGTATAACTCATCACACATCTCATCTGGCTCTATTAATTCCAATAAAACTTTAAAGTTAGCCTTAAGGAGTCGACATGCTTCATCTAAGGCAGAAAGAGGAGTTTCTTCTGATTCCTCTACAGCAGCCATTTAAACGCAAAAATATTTAATTGAACCTCGGAAACCGCCCCCAGCAAGCAATGAATAATGTTCAAGCTACATTGTTAGCATTTTAGCAAGAAACCATAATAATGATAATGATAGGTTTAGAATACTATAATACAATAAGAGAACACAAAATACAATATAATAATGATAACAATAATAATAATTCACACATGTATTGTCGGAACAAGTTACATCTGACATAATAATAATAATAATAATAATAATAATAATAATAATAATAATAATAATAATAATAATAATAATAATAATAGTATACATTATAATAGGGGAACAGTCCAAAACCAGAAAGAGGGCCAATAAATTGAAATAATGATAATTGATGAAAATGGCTGATCTCATGATCCTGTCTTTATTCTTTTCAGTGGATGAGTAAAGGGGATTCCTTGATCATGCTGTCCTATGTACGGCTTGTTGTATACACTGGATGAATGAGACCTCTCTCTTGAATTGTGATGTATCGAGCGTTTGTTACCAGCCTTGTGTGAGGAGGAGAGAGAAAAAGAGAAAATATAGAGAGAAAGAGAGCGTGTGAGAGGAGAGAGAAAAAATAATTTAAAAAATGAAAGAACAATTGGAGGAGAAAAAGAAAGATAGAGGGGATACCGTATAGTGGGAAATTATATGGAGGGACTAAAATTTGGCGAATTGCTAAATTTAGTAGTGATTGGCGAAATTTAATTTGGCGAATATGTGGCCACGTGCTATTGAGCATTCATATAATGGCTCAAAATGGCGGATTTTTATTTTGGCGAATGGCTATCAAAATGCTGAATTCGCCAAAATTAATCACCTCAAAAATTTCCTGCTATACGGTGCATGTAAAAAATAAGCAAGAAATTAAAGAAATGATGAAGAGATAATTGTACTATAAATAATTGTACAAATCTCTTACCTTTAATAAAGTATATACGGGCATTACGTTTTCCTTTCTCTCTTCCACATTTTCTACTATCTTTAACTTTAACTTTGTCTTAGTGACACTGGAGGATAATGGTGGCCTAAAAGGAGGAGGAGGTGGTGGTGGGGGAGACGGAGTATTAACAGTTGGTGAGTCGTGATGATGATGATGGTGGTGATAGTGAGTATCATGAGAATGATAATTGTATGCCGTGTATGAGTGAGTTCCATTAGAAGGAGGAGGGGGAGGAGGAGGAGGAGGGGGAGGGATGGGATGAACGTGAGTATATATCTAATAAAAAAGAAAATCACATCATTCACATGTCATGTACATGTATACATGTACGTATCATTTATAATGACATATTATAATTTAATATAATTTACTATTACACTGTACATGTACATGTATATGTACATTGTACTACAATGTACACTACTAATAGTCTACCAAATCAACATTTGTTTGCTTTTTGAAATAAAAACTTCCAAAGATACATACTGTACATGTACACATACACTAATGTACATGTATGTCAGTGTTTCCCACAAAGCATGCTAAGTGAGCTAAACAGCATGAGCTTCATGAGCTGACAAGCACTACAATACAGTACATGGCATTTGGAGCAACTTTAAAAATTCATAAAAAATCCAATTTTGATCAGAATCAGCTCAAACTTTCTACACAACATAAGAACATGTATATGTATCAGAAAAAATTATAAAAATTAATAATTCTCTCGAAGCCATTTTTGACAAAATTTGGCATTTGACCAAAGGCTATAGCCTTTGGTCATTGGCCTGATTTTTGAGTAACTTTAAAAATTCATAAAAAATCCAAACTTGATCAAAATCAGCTCAAACTTGCTACACAGCATAAGAACATGTATATGTATCAGAAAAAATTATAAAAAATGATGATTTGGCTCCTAGCCATTTTTGAGAAAATTTGGCTAAAGTCCTTGTACTCTTTGGATCTTAGTCCAATTTTTATTACCTTTAATAACAGAATGCAAATATACTGATGCACACACACACACACACACACACACACACACTTTAGATGTACATGTATACCATGCTTACAGCAGATTCCTGTAAAAGTGTTTCATAGTTGCTCAAGACAATGGGCTGGACAGTCATGCCCCATAAGTTAGGCAGGAGACTCTTTGGCTGTAAGATACAAGCACCAGGTCTGCAAGGCATGCCATAGGAGACTCTTATCTCTTGTCCTTGAAAGGAATATCCATTGAGATTAAACTGGGCCTCTTCAGCTGAAAATGATGAATTGAAATCAATAAATGCAAAACACCTCGGACAGCCATTGGGAGCTATAGCAACCTAAGGAAAGAGGGAGAGAGGAAGGGAGAGAGAGGGGAGGGAGAGAGAGGGGAGGGAGAGAGAGAGAGAGAGAGAGGCGGGAGGGAGAGAGAGAGAGGCGGGAGGGAGAGAGAGAAGGGGGGAGGGAGAGAGAGGGGAATTAAAGAAATAAGAAAAAAGATGGAAAATAAGTACATGCACATGTACATTAAGTAAATTAATTACCCAAAATGTACATAAAGTTACATTCTCTTACCTGACAGAAATTAATGGTACCATAAACTTCAAACATCTTCTGGAGTACTAAATCATTCTTAAAAGTCTTTGGGAGTCGATCAACAAAGAGAGTTTTTGAATGAAGATCAGCAGTCGTTTGCATCCCATTATCAGCAAAATCAACTCTCAAATGACGTCCACCAATTGCTTTAGTGGCCATTATGTGTTTAGCTAGTAGGGCCTCGTCGCGTGTCGAGAATTCAACAAACCCGTAGCCTTTACTGAGACCACGAGACATACTGTATATTATTAGACACCTTAACACAGTACCTGAAGAGAGAGAGGGGGGGAGAGTGAGAAAGAGAGAGGGAGGGAGAGAGAGAGAGAGGAAGATACAGGAGATTGCAGGATGTCTGAACTACTCAAGTACATAATTATACATTATTGTTCCTTTATACTCTTACAGCTGCTCTCATTCCCTCTATTGTCTCTCACCATTACAAAGACAAATTACATGTGTAGAACATAGATACTAATGCACACATACATGTAGGCCATAAGGCTACCATTATATTGATTGGTGAACCTTATCAGTAGCAATACACATGACACATGACACATGTACAGAGCATGTTTACCTCATGCCATCATACAGTACATGTACATGTACTTATAAACTATACTTATGCTGCGTTTACACTACATAAGTCGGCCAAACCGTGCTGAACCAGACTGAGCTGGCCCTGCTGTACTAACCATGCTGGCCTGGTTTGGCCCAGCTCACTTCAGCTCAGTTTGGTTACTGTTTACACTATCAAATGAAACTGTGCTGGCCCACTTTAAACAGGGCTGGCTCAGTTAAAAAAGCTAGTGTAAACACAGTATAACATAAGCTGAGGGTACTGTGTGTACATAAACAACCAAAACAGTGAAAATACATATAGGAGGTACGTTTGTAATTTTAGGACTTGAATTTGGCAAACTGAGAGATTTTGCCACATAAAACCTGACATTTTGAACCATCTATGTGTAAATGATGTCCACATATTTCCAAATTAGAAAATTCCAATAAGATTGAGAGAAAATTATATGTACATGCATCCTCTTCAAATTACAATACGATCATACATCAATAGTATGTACATGTAGTACTACATGTACATGTACATGTATATACACATACCTAATGGACTGAATAGTTCTCTTAGATTCTCCTTCTTAAACCAGAGTGGTATATTACCAATGAAAAGAAGAGAGTCTGGCCGACTATAAGATGCTTGTAATCTACTTCTCTCGTGTCTGAGTTCTTTGATTCTGTTGAGGTCTTGAATCGCTTTAAAGGCTTGGAATGAAGTAGGGAAGATTAGACGGGCTGATCCGTCGCTGATTTTACACATTATATCACGATCTTGATCAGGAATCAGTGATCTTAACTCCTGTAACGAGAGAGAGAGAGAGAGAGAGAGAGAGAGGGGGAGAGAGAGAGAGAGAGAGAGAGAGAGAGAGAGAGAGAGAGAGAGAGAGAGAGAGAGAGAATGGTGGGAGTATAAATTTGAATGAAGTGAAAATAGAAGAGAAGGAAATCCATGAATTAAGAGGGAGGATATGAAAGAGAAAAAAATAGAAAAATTAATATTAATCCAACTGCCTCTACCAAAAAGACACGTACTGGTACATGTACATATTCTTCGTCTAAACTGTGTAAACATCACTTCAAAAATATTGGCACATTTCGTGTTAAAAGTGTAAAATGAAACCACACAAAATATGCAACCATAACTCTATTCCTGCTTTAGAGTTTTATTGAGCCAACAAAAAAATACAAAGTACACCCATTTTACTAATAATTGCATGTATTTAAATTAAAATAAAAAAGTAATTATTATAGACTATAATCTTTCTCTTTTATTAGTCATAAAATCCCTTTAAAATAAGGTGCGAAAAAATTCAAAATTGAAATAAATTATGTAGTCGATGGTTACGATTCTCAGCATACATCCCAAAAACATTAATAATAATAATAATAGTTACCTTTTCTGTGAAATCCGGTGGCAAACCATTCACAATGACTTTCCTTTTCTTACCAAACTCTTCATCCATCTCCTTCACCAGCTCCAGCTTCTTTGTCACAGGTATTTCATCATCTAAAAAAAGATAAGACATAAAGGAGTTAATTTATGTATATATATATAATGGCAGAGAGTTATACTTTTAGTATAATATATTTCCGAAATTTCGTCCCTTTCCTCCATCATTGCTATTCACAAAGAGAGAGTAATTTTGTAGGCAGAATATTAGATTTATCCTCCGATTTCTCAGCTCCCAGCTCGACACAAACCGACACAAACCAGTAGCTTCTTAATCTTGCACATCCACGTCCACGTCACTATAATACCACGAGTTTTGAATTTTTAAAATTGACAGTCATCACGTGATCTCAACGCCTACGTTCTAAGGCGTGGTCGCCACGCCCACGATACTTATTCAGCAAGAGAGATAAACAGATCATGGAGTTAAAGTGTAATAAAGGATTTTTAATGTAAGCCAAGTGTTGTTTTCTGTGACAATCATTCCTTTCTTTCTTTGTTTTATGTCCTCTCTCACATACACACTTTATAGTTTAATAGGGTTAGCCTTATCTGCTACAATAGGGATCATATTATTGTTTGTTGGTTGTGCCTTACATTATGAATCAGCTAATGAAGGAATGTGAGTACATCACTTATTTATTATTTATTTAATACTGCTCGAGTACATGTACATCACCATTGTAGACTAGTTTTGTGGTTAGACACAGTCCTGGATAGAAATTGGAATTACTTGTAACTCTGGTTTAATCAAGGGATTAATTAGTTATGTACATAATCTCTTGGGTTCATATTAGGTTAAAATGACTGGATTTTTATTCCTTGTAATTGTACATGCTAATGAAGTTATTTTTTGAGCATTAAAACTAATACTATTTAAGGACTTGCTTGTATTGTTATTTTCATATTAAAGTTTCTTTTTTCTGTTTTTTTAGAGTAAACTGGTGGGGTCTATTTGTTCGTAAGTATTTACATATAAATAAGTGATAATTACAATAATTATCATAATTTAGTTATTTTTTATCTCCTTGCTCCTGTGCCGCTCACATTGGCCAAGCTATGTACTGTGAGAGAATGTGCATCAGAAGAAAGCCTGTAAGTGGGTGTGGTTTGGTTTCCATGGTAACATTATTCCTCTTCCCTTTAGTAAAGTGCTGTACGATATTTGTTATTTTATCTCGGCATGCATAGTTGTGTCTGGATTTGGTAAGTAATAGGGGGATATGGCACTACCTCTCACCTGGGTTTCCTACAAAGCATGCTACGTGAGCTAAAAGGCATGCTTTATGACCTGACAACAAGCAAGCTATAGCTTATGGAGCAACTTTTAAAATTCATAAAAAATTCAAACTTGATCGAAATCAGTTTAAAATTTTTACACAACATAAGAACATGTATATGTATCAGAAAAAATTATTAAAATCGAGAATTCTCTCGGAGCCATTTTTGACGAAATTTGGCTGATGTCCAAAGGCTATAGCCTTGGGTCTTTTGCCTGATCTTTTGAGTAACTTTTAAAATTCTCAAGAAATCTAAATTTGATCAGAATCAGCTCAAACTTTCTACATAACGTAAGAACATGTATACGTATCAGAAAAAATTATAAAAATGGAGAATTCTCTCGGAGCCATTTTTGACGAAATTTGGCTAATGACCAAAGGTAGCCTTGGGTCTTTTGCCTGATTTTTGAGTAAATTTTAAAATTCATAAAAAATCCAAACTTGATCGAAATCAGTTCAAACTTTCTACACAACATAAGAACATGTATACGTATCAGAAAAAATTATAAAAATTGAGAATTCTCTCGGAGCCATTTTTGATGAAATTCTGCCAAAGGACCAGTACAGGATATTTTTGAGCAAAGTCAAAAATCTACCGACAAGAGTTTGAGCATTATCCCAATTAAAACTTTGTGGGAAACCCTGCCTCTCATCCTTGTTTTTTATTCTCTCCCTTGTCTGATCCTCTCTCCTGTTTATTTTTAAATGTACATTCCTGTATCTTTTCTCTTTTGTTAGGTCTACCAGCTGTAATGGCAAGGAACATGATTGTATGTCACATTAATTAAAAGTCATGCTTATGTTTGTTTCCTTCCTTTCTCCCTCTCTTCAGATTGAGTATGGTGCTGCTGGTATCATTGGTGGTGCTAATATTTTTGTTTTCTCAACTGTCTATGCTTTCTTTGCATTCTTCACACGAGAAGAAGAATGGGATTGGACATCAGATGACTGGTGACCAGCATAACTCAGTGTTGCTCTCTCTATCTCTGTGTCTCTGTGTCTCTATCTCTCCATGTATCTCCTCTCTCTATCTCTTTGTCCTGCATGTGCTGTAAAGAAAATGAATTTTTAAATATCTATACTCAGTTGTAGTTATAATTATTGTCTGTCTATGCTATATTTTCTCATGGGAACTGCTATTCCACTTCCATTAATAATTTATTGTTCAGTTTAACATTCAATAAAACAATACTTCTTGTTTTAATTTATGTTATAATGATTGAAATGAGTTTGAGCACATACTATTATGAAAAAAATTCAAAACGTAATGAGATCATTTTCCTTGATTCTTTTGGCTATAGCTTGTTGATATTGGATTCTATCTCATAAATATTATTCTTAGTTCTGCTTTTCCTTGTTTTTTTTTTCATGGAGGCTTTGTTTTTCTGTCTATTTTCCTTGATGCATTTTCTAGTCAGGTACATGTACCTGACAAGAATGTCATCTAGTCAATTGATGTAACTTGTACAAAATAATGGCCATCTTCCTAATCTTTGAACCCATGCATTATCATGTGGTTTACTAGTTGCAATGACAAGGAACATGATAGCCTACATGTATATATGTCATGTTAGAGACATTGTTTATGATGTGTTCTGTTGAAAGTTTGGGATAATTCTAAACTATTCAAAGATTTTGTGTTGACAATATGTATGGATATTATTTCATGTTTTCCAAAGTACATTTTATCATTATTTTGAAATTCTAATGTCACAAAAAACAGTAAAAGTGTGTACTTTTACTGTTTATTGTGGCATAGAAATTTCAAAATAATGATAAAAATGTACTTTTGGAAAACACGAAATAATATCCATACATATTGTCAACACAATTTTTGAATAAAAGGTCACAAGGAAATCAAAACAAATGAATAATGTACAGAAAGTATCATCAATTAATCTACAATCGCAAAACAAAATATTTCTATTGTGAGTATTGTGACATATTTCAGTAAGACAAACAAAGGCATGATTTCCTATAAAACTAGAGCGAAAATTGCTAACACAATTAGAGAAATAATTATGAAGATAATTATAGGACTCCTCTCTCTATTGATCCTTACAGTGCTAGGCACAGAAACAGAATTTGGGCAATTTGAATCTGATCCAAATGGCTACAACATACAAGAATCAGATTCTAATCAGCCATTAGATGATGACACTGACTTACAACAAGAAGCAGCACCAAAAGAAGAAATGGAGACACAGGAGGAACAAGAGGAGACTGACAACAAATTTGAATCTGATTCAAATGGCTACAACATACAAGAATCAGATTCTGATGAGCAATTGGATGATGACACTGAGCTACAAGAAGCAGCACCAAAAGAAGAAATGGAGGCCAGGGCAGCCAGACGAAGTCGTTTCTATGATATAAGATACATGAATGCACTTGATGCACACATTAACAAAGTCATTCAGTCAAACTTCCGAAATCAACCAGGTGAGGTATTACTGTGGTATGTAGCATACAACATTAAGCATTAGGATTAAATTGTGTTTTATTTTTGGATCCCTTTTGATTATAGTGATTCAACTCCTCTATTTATGGACTGATGGATCAAGAGTCCTGAAAATCAAGAAGGTGAATGGAGGGACTTTACGCACATCAGGAAGATTGCTACAGAGGATGTATATGGGGAATGGAAGAAGGTCTAAAACTGGACGATACTTGGCATATCGGCCAAGATTTAGAGGCTACCATTACACTCGTCTTGGTGCTATATTTGTTAATCTCAACAGACTCTTCCCTTGTGCCAGATCAACTCGAATTTCTTGCCGCAGGTTTACAATAGAAGAGGATGGATTCTTAAAAGGAAAGGCAATCATTGAAGCTGCTGATCTTGGTAACCACTTCAGAGTTTTTGGAAGACACGTTGATACATATGGGCTTGCATTTCAAGGTTGCTGTTATCTCAATGGTGCCAATGGTTGTCTTCCTAGGTGGTTTCACACAACGATTGCTTGCTTGCTTCCAAGGTCCTGTTTTCGAAGCTGAACAAAAAAGAACATGAACTGTAGTTTAGTATTAACTGTAGTTTAGTATTAACTGTAGTTTAGTATTGTTGTTATTAGATGCAGTTTAGCTGTAGTTTAATTTTTTGCCATAATTTTGTTTTAGATTTGTCATAATGTTTTAGATTATTATAAGTAGTAAAAGACATGCTGACAATTGTAAAAGCTACTGCAGTGGGTGTACCATTAAGAATTTTGGCATATAGTGCTCAGCTCATTGTTAGTACAATTTGAAGTTGCTCAATAATCTGTCAAAGACCCTAGTGCAGAGATTTTGGTCAAATTTTGCTAAAAGAAAGACTTTGTGCATTTTGAATATTAATAAAAACAATGAATCATATAAAACTTTACATTTCAAATTGTAATTGAATAATGGAAAGTATGTGAGCATAGAAGTAGATAACTTAATTTATCTTGTAAAATTATAGATCTACTTCAGTTATACCTTTATTTACTGTTGGTGCATTAATAAAATAAAATAATTTACACTCCTATTGGTACTAGCAACTCCCATTAGTACCATCTGCTTTATTATAGTAATTATTAATAATGTCATCATGAGCTGGATGCTTTGAGTCATTGTTGGTTAGACTAACTATTTAAAATATAACTATTATAAAGATGATGGCAATACTTACCATGAATTACTATTGTATATTTTGTCAATTCCTCTCGCATTAAAAAGTGTTCAGATTCTTGTTTGAAATATTGTAACCAGTACATCTGACATGAATGTGAGTACATGCTATTATTAAAAAATACAAAATAGAATGTAATGTAGTTCACTTTTCTTTGAATTTATAGCTAAGCTTTTTTGAATTGGGTTCTTTCTCTTAAACAGTATTCTTTATGGCTCTGTTTCTTTTTCCTCTTTTTTTCCTTGTTTATTTTCCTTTCCTTTTCTTTAATTTCCTTCCTTTTTCCTTGATACATTTTCTATCTCGTCGTTAATCAGGTGAGTCACCTGAAATAGATCTACCTGTTGAAAGTTTGGGCTAATTCTAAAATTTTGTTTTGATAATATGCATGGATGATGTTTCATGTCTGAAATTTTTCAGTAAAGATACACAAAGATCACAAAGAAATCAAAACAAATCAATAATGTACAGAAAGTATTATCAATTAATCTACAATCACAAATCAAAGTATTTCTATTGTTAGTATTTTGACATATTTTAGTAAGACAAACAGATGCATGAATTCCTCTATTGCTAGACTATAAAACTAGAGCATGAATTGCTAACACAAGCAGAGAAATATACTCATACAATCATTATGAAGATAATCGTTGGAATCTTCTCTCTGTTTATCCTTACAGCACTAGGCATGAAAACAGAATTTGATGAGGAATTTGAATCTGATCCAAATGGCTACAACATACAAGAATCAGATCCTGATGAGCCATTAGATGATGACACTGAGTTACAACAAGAAGCACCAAAAGAAGAAATGGAGACACAGGAGGAACAAGAGGACATTGATGATCAACAAACACAGTCACTCAAGAGTTATGGAACATGCAGAGGGCTGTATTCATCTTGTGCAGATATCAAGAGTAACAACCCCAGGAGCCGATCAGGTGTATATCGCATAAAAACTAACAACCGTTATATCCATGTCTACTGTTACATGGGAACATTATGTGGCATGAGGCAAGGATGGAGAAGACTAGGGAAACTGGATATGACACAAAGGTCAGCTAAATGTCCTTCTTCACTTCGCATGGTAACACAAAGTGGTACTAGAATATGTACCAAGAATAAAGCTGGCTGTAACTCCGTAACAATCCCATCACAAGGTGTACCATATTCTATAGTATGTGGACGGGTCAGAGGATATCAAAAATATACTTTGGATGCCTTTCACCATCACCAGTCATCCAGCATTAACTCACCTTATGTTGATGGAGTTAGCATCACACATGGCTCTCCTCGCAAACACATCTGGACATTGGCAGCTGGTTTTTCTGAGTTCCTTAGAAATCGTCCTTATGTATGTCCTTGTAATTATGGTACCACAGTCAAGCCAGCACCATTTGTTGGGAATGATTTCTACTGTGAATCCGGCTTTGGTCATGTAAAAAACCACTTTTCTTTGTCTGATCCACTGTGGGACAGGAAACAATGTAGACATCAAGAAGCACCATGCTGCAACCGTCCTCTTCTCCCTTGGTTCCGCAAGTCTCTTAGGTATGCTACTACTGATAATATTGAGATGAGGGTTTGCAGTGATCAAGATACAAATGATGAAAACATTGGAATTGATCAATACGAGTTTTATGTCATGTAGACAAGAAACAAAACAATATTGAGTAGAAGTATAGCTAGTTCAGACATTTTAGTAGTTTCATTTTTAGTTTAGTCTCTTTTTTGTAGTGAATATTCATTTTAAAAATTTTTTTGAAGCACAACCTAATGGTCTAAATAATTATTTAAATTAATTAAAACAAATAGTGATAAAAATCAAAGAGGCTCGGACACAGAGTTAAAAGATGATACTAAAATTAGAACCAAAAAATTATGGGAAGCCAGTAAATTAAAAGCAAAAAAGAGCAAGAGAGAGGGAGAAAGAAAGGAAGGAGAGTAACAGGTTTAAAGAGCAAGAGTATCAAAAAATTATATAGGTGATGACCGTTTGATGTTGTTACAACAATTGAAGATGGTATAGGAGCCAGCAATTGCAGTAGAGCTAAGTGAGAAGAGAAGATGATTTGTTTAGAGATATAACCTCAGCTAGCTATGATAGGTCTCAGCAGAAGGTAAAAATCACTGATATGAGATCTTAGTTTGTTTCGGTTTGGTATATGAGGGATAATGCTGTGAACAGCATTGATTGAGCATTGTGAGAAATGACCTATAGGGAGTCAATCTTGACTGTCTCTAATTCAGGTCAATACCAAGTGAAGAGAGGTCACTAATCAGAGAAATATAGTTTTGCTTCTGCTGTTTACACTCTCTAGCATAAGTCAGATTTGTAATACTGTTAGCTACTGGGAATTTGTAAGTTCTAGAAAATAAATCAATTTATCATCTATAAGATTTAGTCACATTTAACTGCAACTGCATGCAAGATGGTTCAAGTAGCTAATATAGAGGACTTTGGCATAATAAAAGAAGGGTGAGAGACAAGGTTTTCCTCAGGATTTTGACACTGTACTCAGCTTCTTATTAAAAAATTCCTCAAACTGGTCTTGGGCTTTCTATTTTTATAATTTTTCCTGGTAAAATACATGTTTCTATGTTAAGTAGAAAGTTTGAGTTGATTTTAATCAAATTTGAATTTTTTATGAATTTTTAAAGCTGCTTCATATGCTGCTCATGCCTTTTGACAAAATTTTGTTAAAAATCACTAGTGGAAATTCTCCATTTTATAATTTTTTTCTGATGCATATACATGTACTCAAGTTGTGTAGAAAGTTAGAGCTAATTCTGATCAAAATTGAATTTTTATGAAGTTTTAAAGTTACTCAAAATTGGGCCAAAGTCCCCTGATGTCCTCTCTTTTTCCTGTTTCTCTTTAACTTGTGTTTGTATATCTTTTCTCTTTCGTTAGGTCTACCATTTGTATTGACAAGGAACATGATAGTATATGTATGTCATGCCGCCAATTAGAGATAGTCTGGCTGGCGAGACTAAATTAGAGACATGTTTATAATGTTTTCTTTCAAGTTTGGGAACTATTCAAAGATTTTGTGTTGACAATATGCATGGATAATATTTCATGTTTCCCAAAGTATGTTTATTATATTAAAAATTTTTATGCCACAATAAACAGTAAAGATACACAAAGGTCACAAGGAAATCAAAACAAATAATGTACAGAAAGTATTATCAATTAATCTACAATCACAAATCAAAGTATTTCTATTGTTAGTATTTTGACATATTTCAGTAAGACAAACAGATGCATGAATTCCTCTATTGCTAGACTATAAAACTAGAGTATGGATTGCTAACACAATTAGAGAAATATACTCATACAATTATAATGAAGATAATCATAGGATTCTTCTCTCTGTTCATCCTTACAGCAGCACTAAGTATAGAAACAGAATTTGGGCAATTTGAATCAGATCCATTTGGCTACAACATACAAGAATCAGGTCCTGATGAGCCATTAGATGATGACACTGAATTACAACAAGAAGCGCCATTAAAAGAAGAAATGGAGACACAGGAGGAACAAGAGGACACTGACAACAATGAATTAGATGCGCAAGAAGGAAAGTGCAAAACGTATTCATCTTGTGCACATATCAAGAGAGAGAATCCCAACAGTCCATCAGGTACATATCTAATAACCATTAACAACTGCAATACCCAAGTCTACTGTCACATGGGATCATTATGTGGCATTAAAGGAGGATGGACAAGACTAGGGAAACTGGATATGACAAAAAAGTCAGCTAAATGTCCTTCTTCACTTTGCACGGTAACACAAAGTGGTACTAGAATATGTACCAAGAATAAAGCTGGCTGTAACTCCGTAACAATTCCATCACAACGTGTACCATATTCTCTGGTATGTGGACGGGTCAGAGGATATCAAAAATATACTTTGGACGCCTTTCGTTTTCACCAGTCATCCAGCATTAACTCACCTTATGTTGATGGAGTTAGCATCACACATGGTTCTCCTCGCAAACACATCTGGTCATTGGCAGCTGGCTATTCTGAGTTCACCAGAAATGTTCCTCATGGATGTCCTTGTAATCATGGTGCCACAGTCAAGCCAGCACCATTTGTTGGGAATGATTTCTACTGTGAATCTGGCTTCAGTCATTGGCCACATAACCGCTTTGCTTTGTCTGATCCACTATGGGACAAGAAGCAATGTAGAGGACAAGAAGCACCATGCTGCAATCGCCCTCTTCTCCCTTGGTTTCGCAAGTCTATTGGATATACTACTGCTGATAATATTGAGATGAGGGTTTGCAGTGATCAAGATACGAATGATGAAAACATTGGAATTGATCAATATGAGTTTTATGTCATGTAGACAAGAAACAAAACAATTTTGAGTAGAAGTATAGCTAGTTTGGACATTTTATAGTAACTTTATAGTTAGTTTAGTTTTTTTTGTAGTGAATTTTTATAACAGATTTAGTCAAATAATATTAACTTTACATTATTGGGTGCAATGACTGCA